GGAATAGATTTATTATAAATTTGTTTCTAGATATGCACTTTTAGCTTATTTTCATACATTAAGTAAATGCATGAGTAAAAAATTTTAAAGTAAAAAATAAATGACTTCTATTTTATTTACCAAAAGTTAGTCGATAAAAATCACAAAGCAGTGTAGACACTTTTGATCAAAAGTATCTACACTGCTTTAGTGTCGTACTTACCAAAAAAAAAATATGCGTTGACACACATAAGGCATAATATGCAACATGATTATCACCATAAAGACTATAAAGACTACTCAATAATGATGAAGGCGGGAAAAATAGGCACATAAAAAACAACAACAGAAAAGCTATCAATGTGGATCAGAGGTTGCCTTACTATATTATCATAGTTTTAACCTCAACTTATTTATACACATTTTTTTGTATTTATTTGTGTAATAGATATACTATATATGCAGTTTGCAATATGCAGTATGCAGCATATTTTCCTTTAGCACTTGGGGGCTTCTTTTATATTTCTTTTACTTTTATTTATTTGATTATTCTTTAGTTCGATCGAGGAAAGTTTTTCTAGCACTATTGTTGCAGCATTTGTTGTTGTTAATGTTACTGATACTGACACTGTTGCTGTTGTTGTTGCTATTCCTATTGCAGTTGACTTTGCTGTTGTTGTTGCTGAAACTGATGCAGTTAGTGATCATGATGATGATATTGCACTTTGTTAACTTTCTTCATTTCATCATGGTTTGCTGCTATCTCCGTCTAATAACAGACAATTAGATTTTGATACTTCATACACTATAAGCTCTTATCGATGATTACAATTGAAGCGTCATCTTTATTTTAGTCAAGCACAAAATGTACTGATACTATGGAGAAAACTTATAGAACTTGTATCTCTACTCGATTATCTTATGCCACAGTTTCGAACTTGAACTTTACTTGTGATGAATACTTACTTTTCACTATTTTATTGTTAGAAAATTTGTTGTTGTTTTATTTATGATTTTTGTTATTTTTATTGGTATTCTTGCAAATTTGTTAAATGTTTACTAATATTAGGTTTCTCCATACTCTTTTCTGTATAATATACCAATGCTGTGTCAGAATTGTTTCTCCCAGACAGTTTTGTTGTTGTTGTTGTTGTTGTGCTAGAGCTGCAGTTATTGTTGCATCTTTTGCATATAAAATTATTGCAAATACACACTCTGTTCTAACTGTGTGTATTGTGGTGAGTCTTTGGCGCATATTTTCTTAATTTACCTTTTACTTGCAGCAACAAACGTCTTTGTTTAGCTGACCAGTACCTCTACATCGAGTGCCTATAGCACTTTACCCATTTTTATTTTAAAATCTTTTTCGTTTTCTAATAATATATATAGTTTTTATTACAATTTGTTTTTTTTTTACCTTTTCTACTTTTATTTTTTTTCTATCTCTCGCTTGGCTGTTAGTTCAGATCTTCAGGTTAATATTTTGCACCGCCGATCGACTTTTACTGCAGTTGCTGCGGTGCATTTATGTTCTGCGTTTGTAGCTTCATTTTTAGTAGTGCAAATGATTCTCTCATTGCCAATTGCATTAGAATTTTTTGTGATAGCGCAATAAATGCAGGCAGCTATGTATAAATGACTGCATAAAATTTCGATATTGTGCATTTTTTATGCATTTCGTGGGATTTATGTTTCTATTTTGCTTGCAGATATCTTGCATGTTTGTTTTATTTTCACACAATCAAATAAAAATCATAGGGTCAACCTCTGCAAGATTGATAGTGCTGCTGCTAATGTTGGGTTTAATCGGATATACGTTTTTACTATTTTTTATGAGAAGTTTATACCTAAACTGGATTTATAAATAAATTAAACGCTTTTGAAAGTAATAGTTATGTGAAACAAAATATTTTTTCCATCTTTATTTTTTCTCTGCAATTGACAAAATTTTAAATACGAATTTAATTTAATAGTATTCTGTTAGGTATCAAAACATCTTTATTTTTAGGGTTGTCATTAGTGTTGCCAAGAATAGTAGATAAGAGATAAGTAATAATCAGTGCAATTATTTTCATTAAAATTATGAATATAAAACGAAATATTTTGAAACAGAAAAGAAAATCAAAAGTCGATGGTTTTTCAAAAATTCCTCATTGTTGAGGAGAGAAGCCCATTTAAATCTCAGATGTTTTTTGGGTCACAGCATTTGGTTAATAAACGCAACATGCATGTTGAGTAAATCATACATACTAAAACTTTTCCTGCATAACTTTTGGTATAAACCGCAGTTACCATGGCATTCCCTAACGTAGCCAATGCAATCAGAAGTAATATCTGATTTAACTTAAAGTCCCACAAGTGAAATCCTCTTTGCTGCCAATTATACTTCAACAAACTGAAGGCTTCTGTCTTATAGATTTTAGTTGTCTTTAGTCATTAGTTAACATACAGGCCTTGCTTTGAAAATATTCTAACCTAACCCCATGTATAATTAAATATCTTTATATAATTAAAAGAATTTGTGAACAATGAATTAAAGCGTAATTCACATATGTATCATTTATCATTATCTCTTTAGCTGTTGCTTTCTTTTCTCTTTGTTTTTCAATTTTCGGTAAATTTTACTTTGTCTTAAAGAACTTTGCATATAAATCACTTTCTCGAACCTGGAATTTACTTCAAACAGTAATAATGGTACCAATTTTAACGGAAATATCTTTTAACTATCACGTAAAAATTAATTGTTATGTTAATTCACCCATTAAAACTGAAACGAAGTGTTGATAAAATAACGAAAATAGCTTATAAGTATTTTATTTCAATACCAATATAATAACATAAGTTCTAGATACATTTAGATAAGGTACAAGCGCTTTAAATCTACAAGAATAAAAATAATATGCTACTGACTAGAACAAGTTTCTTGAAATTAATACAATAAGATTGGACATGGATACTATAAAAATACAGAATAAAATACAAAACATATCAACTGAGCTGTTGAATTTTTGTTTTTTTCTTTTTATAATAAAAGAATTGTATATGAGTCACTATAGATATTATTTAAAATATTCAAATATGAGAAATATAGGTCAAGAGCTTCACTTATTCTTTGATGTCCATACACTTTTAGTATTCAAAATGTGTAGATTCAAAACTGCAGTATCGTTTACTGATTAATACGATGAATTTAAACTGTATACAAAGTTTTGAAATCTTATGTCTAATTTATTGTTTTTACACATATAGTAAATATTACATTATATTAGAATATTAATACATTATTAGTTATATTATTGTTATATCTACTTTTAAAATTTATTCATATCCAAATTTGCAAATTAGTAATACGCAAATTCACTTCCAGTCCTTCAGCATTTGTTGCAATTTTACTTAAATAAACTGTTCCCACGCTTAAGTGGGTTATGGCAGTGACATTTTTATGTATGTTAGGCATTATTTAAGCCAAAATTAATTGATGTCATCTAATAGACAACAATTTAAGCACACGGTATTCAAAATGAAAAACAAAAAATAAATAAAAATATAAAAAAAATTTAAATTTACTTAAAACTACCAACAAAAAAGGCTCTACGCAAAATTTAAACAAAAAAAATCGTTCGTACACCTTTTCTGCCGTGGTAAGGAAATTATTTGAGGATTAACTGCTACAAGTACGTACTAAAAAAGAACAACATAGATGGCAGTAAGATAAACCATTACAAAAGACCAAAAAAAATAAAAAAAAATTAAGACACAAAAAACAATAAAAATAAAAACTCTCTATATCAATAACTTTAAAATCGCAAAAAAAAATCGCATAAAAAATTGCACACGAATAGTGCAAGCACTTTTCCTACGTTCCACACAAATATCGCACAAAAACAAAAAAAATAAAAAAAATAAAAAATATAAAAAAAAACAAAAAAAAACAATATTCAAAAATACTCAATAAAACCTATGAAAGAAGAAGCAAGCATCTAAATTATAGTACCAAGGCTAAAATCTCAAAAAAATATCAAAGAGTCAGTCAATGCGAACAGAAAGCATTTGCTGCATAAGCCGTTACAACATGTTTAGGCCAGTTGCAAATAAAGTTCAAACCAAATTTACGCCAAGTTCATGATCATTTCAACATCGCGGCATTGCTCTGATAATGAGAATCTGCAGTACGGCAGCATTCAAATATTCAACGTTGGCTGTGTTGTAAACACAGTTAGTGTGAATAGTTAAGAGAGCATAAGCCGTGAGAGCGGAACTAAGCTCAAAGAGAAATGTTCGCTTCAAACAATTGAGCTCGAAGCAAGAGTGTCTTCGCAGCATGAAACTTTTGCATGTTGGAAAAGTTATATTTTCTATTGTTTTCTTTTAGACTTGGTCTGTTTTCAGGTCTCATGTTGCGATTGCAGCTTTAAAGAAAAATTTTTAAAAGACGCTGCAAAATCATGTCGTGGAACATTTGTACCGCTGCGGTGCTACTAGATGGAAGTCTAGTTGTATTTTTTGGTTAAATAGTAGTGCGAAAAACTTAGCTAAGGCAAGTAAAAGAAGAAAAAAAACAACAGTTAATAAAGAAATTATAAATATTATAAACAAGAATTATAATCGCCCATTGAATAAAAAAAACTAGAAACAGTGAAAGAAAAAATTTTTTACTTTGGACTAAATCGCGCGTTGGGACTTTTCTGTGTTGTGCCAGTGTATGATGAATTGACTTAAAGTAGCCGCGAGTAGACATTAAATCAGAAACAGTTACTTGACACTAATACAGATACGGTCTTTTCAGTATTTTAAATGCGACAAAAATAAAAATTATTAATTTTGTTGTTTATTTATACAAAAAAAAAAAAAGAAATTAACAAAATAAGTGCTAAATTTTTAGCTAAACTTCAAAGTGTACTCAGTAGTGGAAATATTGTGTTTTTGTTAAGCAAAAATATATCTAAAGATTGGAAAAAAAAAATTTTTAAATACTTAAGTGCATTTTCAAAAATTTAACAATAACAAAAACAAAAAAAGAAAGTGCAAACAAAATGAATACACCGCCATTATCCTGTCTAGCTTTGCTACTATTATACATTAGTTTACTGCAAATACCGACTACATCCACTGCTGATTATCCTGGTGTTATAGAACTAGTAGGCTATAGTAATAGACGCGCACGAACGCATTTTCTACCATCTGCTCGCAGTGGGCGACAATTGGATATATCTACTTTAGCACCACCGCCAGCAAAAATACAAGCAGACATTGAAACTGTCAAACAAAATATTGAGAAATATAACAAACTACTTACATTGGATACGAGAAATTTACCTGAATCCCAAAAGGATATGCTTGAACGTATAGTAGAACGCGTTGCACGTCTAAAGGAATCGTTGGATATTGAAGAACATGCTGCGCTCACACAAAACAGCACCACGTACACAAATGAACCAACAACAGGTCATTTTGCACCCACTACTGAATCGGCTACTGCAATAGAACCAGAAACAGTTCCTACTTTGGTTTTAGATGAAACTACTTTATTGCAACTACAAACCTCTATGGATGAATTAGCTGCAGCACAAGCTGCTGTGACATCTCAAACAACACGTATGCGTGAATTATCCATTACTACTATATCACCGGAACTAGATTTAGAAGATATATCTGCTGAGTCAGCGACTGAAGTAGCCACGGACATTGAACTTGAAGCGGATTCAGTTACAGATACCGACACCGATACCGATACCAACACTGATACAAATTTATTAGCTTCTAGTTCAATTGCTGCAGATTATGGTTCAACCACCCTTGATTCACTAACAGATGCTACAGATCCTGATGATCAATTCGTAGCTGCACGTTCTAATAATAATATTGCTGCTATAACAGCAGCAGATTCTGATACAAGTTCGGCACACACCACCACCGCTGGTAGTCAACGTACCTTAACTACCAGTGGAAAATTAACAAAAACACGCGCCACCAAGCGGCCATTATCCAGTGCTACTAAAAGTTCAGGCTCGTTGACTACTCTAACAAAACGTGGTCAAAGACCAGGAAGTTTATCAACCGGTCATTATAAACAAACGACTACAAAACAAAAAGTTTCTGCTGCTGCTGCAGCAGCTGCTGCATACACCACACAACAGCCACTACAATATCAGAAGCAGCATAGTAAGCCACATCAACAGCAACAACAACATAACTATCAACATAAACTGTCAACTGTTGCTGGCAGTCCTGTTACTTCTTCAACGCCTGCAGACCAACGCATTACCAGTGGGAGTACAGCAGCCAACTATGGTAGCACTAATATCAACACCAACACCAACACCAACAACTACAACAGCAATTACAACACAAACAGCAACAATAACAATAATAATATTAACAACAACAATAACAACAACAACAATGACATGGTATATGATGCACACGTCAATACTTCAGCCATAATTGATAGTTTGAATAGTAATGCACGCGAGGAATACTATCAGCAAAAACAGTCCGTTAACAATAAGGATAAGGTAAGCGTGATAAGTTTTATGGGAAAACATTTTAACAATTTTATATTTACCATCATGCCAAGTTGAGGAAGAGCTCAAAAATTCGTGATTACAAACAAGACGTGTCTATTTATCAACTCGGAATATGTATGTCTGCACTAACCTAGTGCTCGTACCTATTTAGATATAAAGTAGTTGGAAATTTGTGAGCAGCACCAATTTTCCCTGCAAATGTGCAACTCACAATTTGCTGTCATTTCTTATTATTTTTATTGAACCGTTAGAAATCGTACGTGCACCTATTTAAGTGGGTTTACGTCTTCTGAAAAGCATTCAGATGATTTGCATAAATTGCAGTAGAAAATCTTTATTATGCGATTATGTTGCAATTCTTATACATTGATATGATTAAAGTGATGCTGACAATGAAAGTGGGTTTTATATAACTACGGGTATCAAAAACTATGAGGTGAAAAGGTTAACAATTCGGAAATAATTTTATTGCAAATTTGAAAAAAATTCAATACATGACAAATATATTGAATATATTGGTTAATAGTAGGAATTTTTCTCTGTAAATGCAATGAATCACTAAAACAAAAATTATACGTTAAGATTATTGCAAACTAGTACTTTTATTCGAAAAAGCATTATATAAAATTTTAATTATTCAACAGTATTTGTATAATGTGTTACTTACACTATATAGTTTTTCATATAAAAAAGTGAAAGAAGGTATAAGAATTACAGATTAAAATTTAAAAAAAAAAAAGCTGTATAGTATATTAATGAATCTATTGAATTTATATAATTTCAATTTTTTTATTTTCAATTTAAATAATAAAAATTATTTCAATAAGTTTATAATTTTGCTTTATATAAATTCAAGACATAGAAATAACGCTTGGCTCAACCGGAGCTCAAAGCTTCTTTATTGCAATTATATATCAACTTCTGCTAAAAACTGTAATATAAAATTTTTTATTTTTAAAGACATGTAATTTACTCATTATATAAGATTCGAAAATCCTTGCAAAAATGAATAAATAAAATGAATAATGAATAACTCAACCGCAGCACAAAAGTAAAATATTTTGAAAATGTAGTATGATTATATTTATTGAGATCATATCATAGTTTCTTCCATAAAATATTAATACATACATATTTAAAAAGTGTTATTTTTAAAATAATTTTTTTTTCATTGAACTATAATTTATAATTGATATAAAATTCGAGAATCATACACCTAATAATTCTCATTGAATATAAATTGATTAGAATGATGCGACTAACATATGAGTCTATTTTATATCACATAAGTATTGAAATCAAATAAAAGGAGCTTTATGTAAATGCAACGAACCCACAAGCGATCTACTTAGAATCTATCAGGGATTCATCCTTAAGCTTAACTTAATAATAAGCTAACGAGATATAAATTGTTAATTAAAATGATTTAACTAGAAGTAGTTTAACAACCAGAAACTAATACCGGCAGCTCACTTTTGAAATTTTTTCATAGTCAAATAATCAATCAAATTAGCATTTTACTATATGTACATTATTATATTATATTATTTTTAATTAATTACTAGGTCTTCCTCTGATTGGTTCTTTAATTTTTGTGAGTTAAGATCAATAGAACAGATTACTTAAAACTAATAAAAATAAATAATTCTTTAAGTTGGTTTCGAGGTCATACAAAACAAATTGTTTATTTAATTATATAGTTCAATTAAGATAGAATTGATTTTAGAATGTTTTTAAGATTTCGTGAGCCTTCATTGCTTTTATCATAATAATTATAATAAAACTTAATACAAATAAAAGGAATAATAATAAAAAACAAAAGGGAAAGAAGAAACATTAGAACTCGTTCATAAAATATATTATGAATAATTGGAAAATAATTAAATAAATAAATTATAAAATAAAAATTTCATTTGAACAATATATAAATATAAAAATTAAAGAAAAAATTATTTAAAAAAAGCAACACAAATGAAAAAAATTGTGTTTTAAAATAATATATAATTAAATAATAAAATGTATGAATATTAAAAAAACAAATATAAGGAATAAGAGCAAAAAAAAACAAACTAAAATTACATTAAAACTTGCTTATGAGATTTGCAATAAATTGAAAAATAAGTATTGAAATTAATTATAATATAACATATTCATTTAAGAATTATAAAAATAGAATAAAACATTAAGAAATAAGTATTAAAAAAAACACAAAAAAAATAATTTTAAATTTTATTTAATATATTTTTTAAATAACTAAATGACTGGCAGAAGTATATAAATAACTAAACACAAAAATATTACAAAAAAAATAACAAAAATATATAATTTAAAATATAAAAACAAATGGTTCATTTAATAGTTCACTTCTTTCATACTGTTAGCTGCAACTTTGACTTTTGCTTATTTTATAATTCATTTTTTATGTACATTAATATATTATTTTACATTAGTAACTACATATAGTATTAACAGAAAAACAGATTTGATTCCAAATATTAACATCGGTCTCACCTCCTTCTTTCGCTTTTTAACACTTTCAATATTATAACCTTCAAGATTTAACGGGATGGATAAAATATCCATCTTTATCCGCAATGAATATAGTTTATTTATATTTTGCTATTTTAGTGCTATTAGAAAAAATACAGCAAACAAAGTTTGTCGAAAGGTCTTAAGATGCTTGATTGTGGTCCATTATATTTTTTGTCCTGTTTTTTAATTTTAATTAATGTGTCATAATATTACTCTATCTAATGCTGGTATTTACTTCGAATTTCATATATAGTACCTCGTTATTGAGATTTAAAAACTTACTAGGAACTCTACTGACTTATTGAATGACTGGCCCATATAAATTTAGGATTTAAACTGTCATCAAATTCGTTAGTCTATGAATATGTAAATGATTACGTATTTATTAATTCAAATAAATAGCATACTTATAAGTTAAAGAATGTAATTAAAGTAGAAATATACAAAATAACTTCAGTCGTCTGAATGTACATAATATATAAATTGAATCATTTATCCGTTCACTGTCAACTATATTATTCTTTGAAAAAGCTTCAAAATGCCATTACCTTTAGCTTCACACAGATATTGAGGTAGTTTGCTGTTTAGCCTAAGTCTAAGCCTTAAGCCTATAGGCCCATTTTGCTACCATATAATTAAAAAACTCAAGGGTTACAATCACTTAGAACCTTGGAAGGAGGTCCTGACGTTCTCTAAAAAGAAAGTTCCTAAGATGTTAAGGCGATGCGTTAACATTATGTGCTGGGCATAAGCAAAGCAGGCTGTTTAATATAACATTGTTAAATATTTTATAACAATAATATAAGAAAATTATGTGCGAAACATAAAAATATCTTGATTCATAAATTACTGATATCATACACTTATATTAATGAAAATTTTAATAATAATATTAAATATTTTATATTTATTATATATTTAAATTTATAAAAAAATAAAACACTAGATTTGAATTTTTTAGTAAAAGAAAGCTACCTCCAAGCCAAGTGAAAATACTTTTAAAGTATTAACATATAATGCTTACAAATATAATATAACAAATTAATATAACAACTTTCATATAAACAACGTTCAATTATTAATTCAATTTCTTTTTTATTGAAATTATCTATAAAAATCATGAATGTCAAATATAACGATAAAAAAAATGTTAATTCCAAAGAAAACAAGAACAATTCACAAAACCCCAACGGATAAGTTACAAAGCCAAAAAATAACATGCAATTACAATCAACCATAAAAAAAGATACCGATACTGAATTGAATGTTGCCGTAGTTTAAGTTATTGGATCAACAAGTCAAAAATAAAAAATAAGAAAAATTCGAACAAAAATTTATGCCATGTTTATAAAAATATATGGCAGAAATAACAAATCCAGCTTCAACAACTAAACGCCACTTGTTCAGATGAAAGAAAAAGATATATTGAAGCTGAGTGCTTTCATTGCAAATCTATTGTCATAAGTCTTGACTTTTGCCTGGCCAACAATAAATACTCGTCTCGTACATTACAACGTACGCTGTATGCAATGTTAGAAGTAAACTATGACGATGACAACACGGCAGCAGCTACAACACAACAGAGTGGAGTCGACAACAAAATCAACATCAGTAACAAGAGCAATACCAAATGCAACGGCAATTGCAATAGTAACAACAACAGCAACTGCAATAGTAACAACAGCAACAAGAACGACAACAACAACGACAACAGCAACAACAACAGCAATTGCAATTGGAATAGTCACCACCACGACACAATGATAATAAAAATGATGACGACAACAATAAAGACAAGCAACATAGTTGGCGCTTAGGCACTAAATAATGCTCAACTTTAGCTGCAATTTTTTGAGCTTCAACTGCAATAAGAGCAGCAAGAATCAAATTGAAACAACAAACAAACAATTCCCCTGCAATACGACATTGTTTAGTTGCAAATAAAATTGGCCAACTGTTGTTATTGTTCGAATTGTTGGCATTGTTATTAAAGTATCGCAAACATATTGCATTATTGAGCAAACAAGATGTTTGGTTTGACATAGTCAATGAAAGTATATCTTATCCGTCTGTCTGTTTGTTCGAATGTAAGTTTACATTCTGCAGTTAACGTGTAACATATGGCTTGACGATTTATGACGTTGTTGTAAGTTTAAAAATATTTGCCTATGACTCAGTCAGAGCAACAACTATCGCTGACATTCCCACCGTAGATAGAAACATAAAACACATAAAAAATTGAAAAAAAAATAAATAAATAAAAGCTTCTTTAAATTTTATGTGCATTTACAGTTGAAGTTGGTAGCATTTTGTTTTAGGTCCTTCTCATAGTCATGTGTTAATATAACAAAAGTATTAAATTGTATTAATAGGGTTATTCAGATCTTGGCGAAGCGATATATAGTAAACCTTTAAATATATAAGTGCTTTTATAAAAATTTTTTTGCAAATTTCAA